GACTGTCACGAAGCCCCTGTGCTCGTGATATGACCGTGGTGGAACGACCTTTGTCTGGGGTGACATAGCCCATGGAAGACCCCTTTGCCTGCATCAAGGGGCCGAGAGAGGCTTAGAGGCCTCCCTCGTGAGTGCTGGCAGAAATCCAGCTATCACCTGCTGCCTTGGAAGATACTCCTGCTTAGAGACTGGAAGGGATCTGTCCTTCTTCCCTCCTGGACTTTTATTTGGAAGGGAGAAGAGATCTGGTCCATTGTAAATACTTATGTCATGGTAGAGACAGTTGTGATCGTGTGTATAATGTATTATGATATTTATTTGTACAGTCATTGTAATATATATTCCCTTTCCCCCATTTGGAGTCTGGTGTGTTTTGTCTGGAAAAAACCCATCTCACATTAGATTGAGATGTGACAGGGGGCTAGGACCAGGGAATTAGAATTTTGGAGATCTCAAACCATGACAGTGTGGCAGGCAACTCCTAGATTGAAAACAACTATCTGAGCAGATCTACTAATAAGAACAACTAGCATTGTTACATTAGCAAGGCCATTAATAACATAAACAAATAAAAGGGAAATAAATTTGACTTTTTAATATTGTTTTACAAACCATTAGTATTGACAAAACTTTCCTGTATTACTGTATTATAAAATGCTGCACAGAGTTTTAGGACTCTGCATATTAAAGAGTATATAAAAATTAGTTTGAACTTGACCAAATATCTACTATTTATGTTAGTTTGATGTTGTAGGATTTCTATGCTGAACAGCTGCCCTAACTTCATAGACATTTATCCTTTTAGTGGAGGAAGAATACGGCAAAAGTAATGGTGTAGGTGTGGCACCATGGAAAAGGGATAGAATACATAAAAGAGTCCATTTGCAGGCATTAACGCAAGTGAGCTCGTTATAACACAGAGCCACTGCATGTGCATGCTCTTCTGTTGTCAGCATTGACACAGAGGCTGTCAAAAGGGCGATCATTGTGTCTGTTCTGATAAGTTATACTGGTTTATTTGGATGAATACATTTTCACCTGGTGACAGGCTGTGAAGCCTGGATGACCAGGCGTGCCCCCGAAGACTCTGGCCTAGAAGAGAACCCCGAATTTCCCATCGCCAGCACTCAGGCAGGGTGGCAGAGGGCCTGGTGTGACACCCAGTGGCGTGCACTTGCTGTCTCCTCCTAAGGTGCCTCAGCCAAATAACTCAGGAGCTCCGCTTGGAGCTGCAAGGTGCTGCCTGGGCCTCTCCTTCCTCAGCTGGGGGGCCTTGGAGCTGGAGGGGGGGCAAAGCTGGACACCACAGAGTGGAACAGAAGCCTTGCTGGGCAATATTTCGTTTGCGTATTTTGACACCACTTCATGATACTCATTTTGAGCACCATTCAATCTATATTATAAAATAAGACAGCGTTATGGAACCGCATGGAAGAGTGGCTCTGTAGCAGAGGGCAGAGACATGGACTGAAGGGAATCTCACAGGTGTGAGTCCTGTCTGTTAGGGTGCATGTGGCCCCACCACCACACACCTTCCAGAATGTTCTGGCATTCCACACTAAGGAAAGCGGTCACTCACATAAAACACTGCAATACAACTACAAAGTGTGTATGGAAGAGGAGACACAGGTGTTCCCTGTCAGCTAAAGGAACAAAGTTGAGCTACAAAATTGACCAAGGCACTGGAGCATCTCTGTTACAAGGTGTGCTGGTTTAAGAGTTAACCAGCAGGGGAAATGAACCCAACTCAAAGGAGAGATTATAAATCAGAATAACAA